TTTCACACACACCTGTGTATGGCTTTTGCAACATTAGCCTTTATGATAGTAAATCTTACGCCACTGTCACAGCATTTATGTCCTGAGATCTTCTGGAAGCCTGGGGCTTGGCAGAAAACATTCCCAATATAGTGAGACATTTGCCGGAACTTATCACAGCAGATTGTGTTGTTCTCAAATCTGAATTTTCTTTGTCAGAACTGTCCACAGAAGTGCTCTGAATCATATTTGTTTCTACACACCTCTGGGAAGCTGGGCAAAACCCACTCCCTCAGCCAGGCATGTTGGACAAACTTGTTTCTTCCTGCTGGATTTTACAACCACAAACAAGGCTTGAAAACAAAACAAAACAAATCAAAAAACTCACCAGCAACACCAGCAGCCCTGCTCTGAACATGTGGGATGCTTCCCTGGATCCCTGTTCATTTCCTGGAGTGAAACTCAGACACACCAGTTCACTGCTGTCCTGAAGTGTGTGGAAGCTTTTTTTTCCCTCTCCCTCCTTTTCTTTTCCCTCCTTCCTTGTGTTGATTTGTGGGACCAGAATGACTTTGATTTCAGCAAGTTTGCTGTTTATTCACGTCACAAGTTTGACAGCTTTACACCAAATCAGATTGCTGGGTTTCAGGAGAGCTCTGAGGCGTCACTGGGAGCTCCTTTAGATTAAACTCGCCTCCCCGGTCTCCCCCCTCTCCCCCTCCTTCAGAGCCTTTTAAACCTCTCTGGGGCTTTAACAGAAACGTGCTCCCAAGACCTGCATTTCATTCTACCACTAATATGGTAAGTGCTCTTTGCATTTCTCTCGACCTCGAGGCAGAAAAACAGAAGCTGGTCTCTTTGCCTTGGGGGCTTGCAGTACATTTTGTACCCACTTTAAGATGGGGAAAAAAGAGGGCTCTCCTCCACCTGCAAGAGCAGTCTCTACTGCTGTGCCTTCCCATGGGTGAGCAGATTCCCTCTTTGAGGCTCCAAGCTCTGCCGTTGCCTTGCAGATATTTAGAGCTGCTGCAGATGGGGCTTATTTGGAGGAGTGGAAAAGGGTGAATCCAGAGCCAACCCCAGGCTCTGCGGTCTGGGACTCCTGTAGAACTGCAGGGGCAGAAGAGAGTGCGAGCAGCCTGGAGGTAACTCTGCAGGCTTTGTGCTGCTGCTTTAGAGCTGAATCAAACCTCCAAAGTGGCAGGAACGGTCTGGCCAAAGACAGCTTGGGACCTCCCTTCACCCTAAACCCACTCAGCACCGTAGTATTTTCCAAAGGATCGCAGGAAACTCAGCTACCTCCCTGGCAGCCGGGGGCTGCGGCGGGGCGGCTCTGTCCGCGCTCAGCGGAGGGAGCGGGGCCGTGCGGGCCCCCCGGGCGGGCAGAAAACAAACGGGGGGAGCGGGCACACGGGTCAGGACTGGGAGCGCCCACGGGAGCAGGCGGCGCCTGCCCCGGGACAGGCACCTGAGCACAGCCCGGCCAGGACAGGAGCGAGGGGAGCGCTCGCCGGGGCCAGGCTGACACCGCCTCCCTCGGGGGCTGGGGAGGGGGCACCGCCGTCCCCCGGCCAGCGCCCCATCGCCTCGGCCCCTTCCCTCCGCAGAGCACCGGCCGGCCGTGCCCGGAGCCGGACTTCGCCGGGGGCCCGGGCTGCGCCTGCCCCTGGTCCGCCCCCGCCGGTGTTTCCAAGGAGACCTGGGCCGCCGTCTGCGCCGCGGAGCCGCCGCACAGCCAGGGCCGGCGGGAGGCTCGGCTGAGCCCGGGTGAGTGCGCTCCCGGGAGCGGGGCTCCCGCCGCCGGGCAGGGCGAGGGAGCGGGAGCGGAGCGGGCTAACCCCGGCTCTGCTCCCCCAGGCCAGTTCTGCAGCCCGCAGCTCGGTGCCCGGGACGCGGCGTGGCAGGGAGACCAGCTGTCCTCCCAGCTCTACAGAAACAAGCAGGTAAAGGCTCCGCGCCGCCCCGGCAACGCGGGTTTCACCCCACGAGGTTCCTGAACTTTGTGTCCCGTATCGCACCTTCTGGGTTGGTTTGTGGCGTATCTCCCTCTCGCTTGCACAGTTGTGGGAAGTGACAGAAAACCGCTTTATTTGTTGTTCCTTGCTTGAAGTATTTGTCTCCCCTGTGTTGCCCTGTGAGGTTGGAACAGCTGTTGTGGGGTTCCCTATGCATCCCTCCTCTCTTACTGCATATTGCACCTTGGCACTAGAGAAGACCAGGAGCATGCCCAGGAGGTCCCTTGGGCTCTGATGGTGCTGTTGTCCAAAAATATGTAGTGTGTCCTCCTGATTCAACCAGGTTTAACTTCATGAGAAATGATTCCACTAGAATTGCCTATTTCCATGGAGGATCAGCCATTTTGACCAACAAGGATTTCCTGTTTATTTTATTTTCTCTCATTTTTCCTTTTTTATAATTCCCAACAAGGAGCAGGAGAGACTCTGAACAATCCTAGATGAAGGAACTCCAGACTGATGACTCTGATCAAGAACTTGGAATGATGTTTTGACACAGTGAAGTCAATGCAAAGTCATTTATTAACTTAATCATCAACCCTTGTTCCAGATGCCAGTGTACTTCTTTCTTTGGCTCTACCTCAGTCATTTGAGGCTGGTGCTTCACAGCCTCTGCTCAGCAGATGCCTGGGGTCCTTAGCAGAAGATCCTTTGTCCTCCTAAAGAAGTCTCCAGATCTGTGATCAGAGGGCAAAAATCTGTCTGCAAACACAGATTTCCCATGAAAAAGGGTTAGGCACCTACCATTCCTGTTCAGCTCTAGGGGGCGGGAATTAGCTCTGTATATGTACCAGGACTAGCACAGTAGGGTCCAGAATTGAAGGGATAACTGCATCCTACTCTATCATAAAGAATGGCAACTGCATCTTCCCTCTGCACTCTACTCCCATAAATTGTTAGTCTGCAACTCCTCCTCCTTTCTTCTCACCAGCCAACTATAAAGGGGAATGAGGGATGCAAAGGGATGTTTACTGCCACTCAGAAGGAGATCCTGCAGCTGCTGTCATGCCCATGACGGTTTCTGGCTGCTCACAGGACTACCTGTAATTCTATTTTCTATTATTATTCTGTGGTTACAGGTTTTTTCAAAGTAATCTTCTCAAATACTCACTAAAGATTAAAGGAAGTTAAAAGTGAAAACTGAACATTCATGCCACTTAGATTTATAGAGACAAGAGGCTGGAGGGGGTGTGTTGAGCTCACAAAGCAAACACCCACATCATCAAATCCAAGCAGCCTGTACCATAGGGCAGTTGCTATTAAGTTACAGAGTCAACATCTATTCATCAGTATCTCTATTCCACAGCTTCAAGATACTTTGCTTCAGAAGGAAGAGGAACTTGCTAGGTTACATGAAGAAAATAATAACCTCCGACAGTACCTGAATTCTGCCCTGATTAAGTGTTTAGAAGAAAAAGCCAAGGTATTGTGTTCAAACATGTTGTGTAGATGTGTGCAGAAGGAACAGGTTAAATAGGTACAGGCCATTAAAATATATGGAAAATCAAAGAGTGCAGACAACCAGCAGTGTGAGATTTAACTTCACAGAGCTGCCAAATTGCTGGTCATGGATCTAAGGTGACAGTTTCCTCCAGGAATGATATCCTGTAAGTTTTGACTGTGGAGACAGTATAGCCCATGGCATAATTTAATTTATTAGTTATAAGTAAGGGTTATAAGCAAGGTAAAATTATTCCATCTAATGCCTTTTTTCAGTAAAATGATCAAGTTTGAATACATATTTCTTTAATGTGCCTGTTTTGTCAGTTATCCCTTTGATAAAGATTGTTTCCCTTTTTTTATGGGTTTTTTTTTTTTTGTGATTTCTGGTTTATGTTTTGTTTTGTTTTGTTTGATTTTCCAGTGATATGTTTTTATTAGTTTACATTAGAATAGTGAGCTATATTTTTCCAATTTATTAAGTAAAAAGTTATGTGGCATTTGTGTAAAGGTAAAATACAAAATGAAACATTTCACGTTGGATGAAACATTCTGTTAGACTAAGTATGAAGGGATTTTTTAAATATTTGGATTCTTTGTCTCTCATCTTAAAAAAAAATAAAGATATTTGTTCCTTGTCAGCTTAATGACATTTTTTATTATTCCAGTGAGTTATTCAGTAGTAACCATCTTCTACACCTAAAATCTGAGGTCAGAAACGTGTTTCTTTCAGGTATCTAGAAAATCAGATTTTAGTCTTCTCTCTCTACCTTTTTGTTTGTTTGTTCGTTTTAATAGAAACTGCTATCCTGCCATGGACAGAAAACCTGTGCTATTCTCAAAAGTGCCAAGAGGAGATTAAAAGAGGACCATTGCTTTGTTCCTCAAGAAACTCCTCATGCTTCCAAAGCTAGAAGGAACCTCTTGGATGAATTCACTGCCTGTGAAGAGCAGGCCAGCCCTGCTGTGGACAGCTGGGTCTTGCAGACCTTAGGATTAAAAGATGTCAACACCATTGATGAAGCTTCAGCTAACTACAGTGCCCTGTCCTCAGACCTTGGAAAAGACACGTACTGCCTGAGCCCTGGAGAAGCAATAGGCTATGAGCACAGTGAAGGAGCAGCAGCAGCAGCGTTTAGCTGCAGCCACGTGCCTCCAGCTGACAGCAGTGCCCATCCATGCAGTGAGGACTCTCCCTTCCTTCCTCAGTTTCCTTCAGCACCATGCATCTCCTCAGCAGTACCTAGTGTTTCCTCCCTCCCAGCGTATGGGTTGCCTTATTTGCCTGGTGATTTGTCACCCAACAAGACTGAAGTGGCCTTCACAACATCTCTAAGTCCCCACCGCAATGTGAGAACACACACCTTCCACCAGGGACAAGCCTTTGTGCGCAGGGATGACGACGGAGGATGGAGATTCACCTGGGTGCCCAAGCAGGCTGAATAATGCACCTGGATCAAGGGTCAGCCATAGGGGGGGTAGGAGACACATTTCACCTTGTGAGACAGGTTCAGGTCTAAAAAATGAACCCTTCTGGGCTTTGTTAAATGCTACTCTGTCACTTACCCGCTCCTTATTCCCTCCCAGATTTTCACAGGTGTGACTCCAGATTGCACATGGACAATTATCTGCCCCAGGCCAGATGTACAAATTGGATTCCCTTGTCTTGTGTCTGTGTTGAGATACCTGCTTTTACTTGCATCCTGGTTTTTCTATCATCAGCTATTCCTTGTTACTGGTAGTTTCCAGGCTGGAGTGCTTTCAGCTTTGATGATCACTCTCGCATGCACCAAACTGGAAAGAATTTTGGGTTACAGCTGGGAAATAGCACCTCTCTCATAGATATTCATGGATAACAAAGGAGGCATAGGTTGGAGACTGGGGATCAGCAGTTTCTAAGTGATTTGTGTCTGTCTTGACTGCGCAGATTGCCTTGGATTTAAGTACCCGTGGTTGCCTTATGTGCTACACAAGGCTGACCTATCTGCAGATCCATGGTGCTGTCACATTCTTTGATGATGCCTCAAAATAAACAGGGTTTGCTTCTATTGCCTGGAGGCTACTTAATTACAAGTGATTCAGTGAGTTCAGGGGATCTTTCTAAGCTGTGATTAAGAGACTAATATGTTTACTAATATGTTTTAAAGGTATTTTGTCGGTTAGATAAAGGGAGTTTACCTTTGGGGAGGCAGTATCAGTGGTTGGAGTGAGTCTTTGGGAACCACAGCCTTCTTGCCTTTCCATGTCTCTGCCAGGGAGTGGTGGGCTCAAGGTAAGACCATCACTACCTTGAGAATGCTTTAAAACTCTCTGAAGAGAAGGTGCTCTAGCACTGCACAGAACTTGACCTTTAGTAATGCTACTAATGATATGAAGTCAACAGATATGAAGGAAGCTCACCAGTACTGTTTTGTGTTACCTTTGTTTTCTGATTTACAGTAATTTGGTGCCTAAGTATTCAAGATAGATTGATTTGGTTATTCATGCTTTCAGAATGGTGTCAGTGACATTAAGGACTTAAGTAAAAAATAACCATAACTGAGAATTTCCTTCCAGTGGCTTATTTTCATATAGAAAAATGGATATTCCTTTATTTTTATCTCCTAAATAGCCTGTTGTGCCTTAGAATATGTGACATACTCCATCAGGAGCAGTGATGATTTTCCAAAAGACTTTTAAATAAACAAACTCTTTATTTCTGCGTAGTTACTTTAAAGCAACTGTGGCAGATTTCCAGAATAGGCAATTAGAAAGCACTGATTGTAGACATTATTGCACTGGGTTAAAAAAACAACCAACCAAAAAAAAAAACCGAAACCAACCACAAACCCACACAACAACCACCACAAAAGAAAACCACAAAAAAACCCCAACAAAAAACCTCAAACCCCAAAACAAAAAATGCACATGGAATAATTACAAAGTCTTTGTTTGGGAAGTTTGTTGTAGTCCATAAAATTATGGCCAGCTGATGAAGACTAGTCAGATAAGACCACTGTTTCTGTAGCACTTTTCTGCTTTTCAGTGAAAGCAGAAGAAAAATCCTGTCCTACAAACAACTCATTTCTTTCTCAAGGCGTTTCATTTCTATTAATCTACTCTTGCTCCACTATATAAGATAACATTGAAGAAAATACTCCTGTCACTGGATTTTTTATTGGGGTGTGTGGGGTAGTGTAGAAAATACGTGACCTTAACATGAGTGTGTGATGAGACACCCTGGTATATGTGATGTGGGAGATGCTGGGAATAGACAGTGTGGCTAGAGGATTACACTGAATTGCAGCTGTAGGTGTCACATCTTTTAAAACAGCTGTAAAATGTAGGTAGAGAAACATCTGTCTGTGTTTTCTAACACTGTTGAATGGTATTACTTAACACATTTCAATGCTATGGAGTCAGCAGTAGTAATAAGTACATTTGTCCTGTCAACAAATATTGAATCATTTTTTTTCTCTGAAGAGAGAGAAAAACTTTCCATTTGTTTGACATTTCCTTTCCACACTTTTATATCACTGCATATGAGAACTTCTCCTGCAGACAGACAGAACAAAAGTGTCAGATCTTTGGTACAATCTTGAAGTAGGGTTTCAGTAGGAACAAATGGATGCTTCAGCCTTTGCCAGCCTTTTGTAAAGGGGTGATTGTCCCCTTGTCTCATAGCAAATAGGTTATGGATGTAAGGGAATGATGTACCTGAATGAATCCTCTTTTCCTGTGGGTTCCTGAATTTTACTCTCTATGAAGGAGTGGAGTCCTGTAGGAGGGATTTCTGTCTGAGCCTGTTTTTTTTTGGGTAGAGGATCCAGTGATGCTGCTCCTGTCAACTCGTGGGTGCTCCTGACCTACATGTGCAAACTTAAAATTCTGATGTAGACAACTGCTTGAGCAAAGGTCTATGTTAATAATGCTGCTGATCACTGGAGCAGAGGGAGCACACTGGAAAGGAAACAGAAGAATCTCCAAATCATTTTAACATATAACTAAAGGTAATTTGTTTTTCCCTGACCGCACCACCTGAACTAGTATTTCCTGAGTTATTGTGAAGAACAATAAAAACAAGCTACACTGTGTCTAAAACCAACCCACAACAGCCCAGTGACTGAACCCTTCCTTTAAATAAATACTGCTCCTATTGCCAAAAACAAGCCATTACTCAGCAAAAAAAATCAGGCAGCTGGAATAGAGAGGCAGGAGACAGAAGTTCTGGGTTCTGGTATTACACTTAGTTTCTGAGCTTTGGTTTCATGGAATCCACCATCAGACCAGCTCAGAGCTATTTAACAAAACATGATTCCTGCTGCTGCAAACTCCATGAGAAGTTCCCTTTTGCCAAGGGTAAGTACCAGGCCCATACAACTCTGGGAATGGCCATGGGGCCCTAGGAGATTCTTTGAGCAGCAGTGAACTTCATTGTCTGTAAATATCTGTCTTGCATTAACATAATTTGTTTTATTTTTTTATTTGAAGTTTGTTTTCTTTATTATGTAACATGCAGCAGCACACTTTAAAACAACCTGTGTTTCTAGAAAGGTATACTAACAGAAATGGAAATTAATTTAACATTTAATATGTTGATGTTCATGATTTTTGTGATTGACAAAGGCCATAAATATATGTAAATGTCAATTTTACCAGTGTCACTAAGTTATGTCTAATAAAACTTAACAACTAATTGATGCAATTCTTTCTGCCCACTTTACATCCATTAAACCATGCAGCTGTTGCTCACACTGCACTGCACCACACCTGGCGCCTACACACCTCTCCAGAGGACTGAAAGGAACCTTTATTTCCTGCAAGCACAAGTGTCCACACAAGGACATACAAATTTTTTTATGATAACAGACCTAAATATATTAATAGCCACAGGTGTGCTCATTTCAGTCTGGGCTTGCACAGGACATTGCTGTGATCCGTCATTGCTTTCACTCAGATGCCATGCTACAAAATGGTGAGGAGAGAGGGAAGTATTGTGCTTTTTGTCTGTTATTTTTGCAGCATCTGGCACTCTCATTTAATAGACTTATACCTTCTTTCTTAGTCAGCTGAACATCCTGATCCAGGGCAACCTGATTCATCATAGTACTCTGAGTACTCCTGATTCTGACTCTGAAATTATGAATTGTAAGATGGCACTGAGGTGTCACGTAAAGAGACTGAAGATGAGAGAGAAAAGCCTGACTAAAGAATTCAAAGCGTAGTCAGCTCTACTTGACAACAAAGTAAAACTGTGTTAGTTATTAACTTTCCCTTCTGATCATGGGCAGGTTTGTTAGTAACCATGCACCAGCTGGGGTGAGAGAGATTTTTCATTTGAATGGAGATTGCATATTGCTTATGAAAAGATACAGAGTGAGCTTTCCTTTATCTCTTTTGCCCTCATCTAGAAGCCACAATAAGTCCATGAGATGATTCATAAACACAATGGCCTGTTGCCAGGTAGCTGACATCCTGTCATAAAGAGGGAGCAGTCTATAAATAATTTGTGGAATGAGCTGTGATTCACCTAAAATGCTATCTCTCTAGTCATTTCTCTGCTTCATTACTTGTGCATCACTGAATTATTTCAAGGCTAAATACGTAGATGCAGTGCAGCCCAGGGAAATCAGTATAATGATGCACAAGGAACAGATAATAAAAATCAACATAAGCATGAAGAACTGGGACGTCTGAGGTCCCCATTTCCCCTAATTTATTTTTAAAAATCTCAAACTGTAGCTATAATACTGATATGGTGAAATGTCCAACAACTACTGCCTCAGAAGCTGTTACTAGGCAAAGATCACTCTAACTATTCATTTACTAACTGATATTTGAATGTATAACATCTTCCACCATGACATTATTCCGTTAGTGATCACAGACCACGAGGTCAGGAACTGGGAGCTAAGTGATGCTTTCAGGGACACCAAATATGTCACTAGATGAGCTGGGATGCAGGCCAGGAATCCTAGCTTCCAGCGGTGCAGAATGAAGGCCTAACAGCATATTAGAGAGTGCAAAGGTGCTGTCAGCGCCCAGCTGTGCCCCCCAAGCCCCAGCTGTGCAGATCGCAGCAGCCACGCAGCCGAAGCCCCAGCGGTGCAGCTGCACACCCAGAGGTGTAGAGGGAAGTTGATTTCCATAGTGGGGCTGAGGCTCCAAGGCTTTCACAGCTGGGGGCTTCAGCTGGGGGTGTTTCACTCCACGTCTGTGCAGACGCGGTGCCCGCGGAGCACCTCCCGGCCCCGCGGCCCTGGCCAGGGTCCTGAAACGACCGCGCCGCTCGGCCCGGGGGTGCGAGAGCATCAGGGCGAGCCAGAGTCCCCACCAGAGAGAGACCCGTAATAGCGGACCCAAACGTTGTACGACCCACCCGAGATAAGGTGGAGCGGCCCCGTGCAGTTACCAGTGCTCGAAGGACCCCGTCGCACCTGATGGTGTTTGGTTAGAAAAATGAGCTTTCTTTGATCTCGAGGTAATCTTTACCTGATAACATGACTGGGGTCAGAGAGCCAGGCAGAAATTCTATGTTCACCGGGCTACATTCTTGGTAAACATAGCTGACACTTTACAGGTACAACCAGTGCTGGGCTCCTCTGCCCAGGCTGTGAGGTAGCTGAGGAGCAGGCAGGGTCATTTTAGAGTATCCTACCACATACCACCACATGTAGAGAAAGTGTCCACCAGAAAGCTCCCCTTACCATTGTTATGAATTGCAGTTTATCCTGGATACAGAATGAAGAAATTATCAACTGCCTCCAAGCCAGGACAGAGAAAACAAGAAACCCCTGCAACCTTTGAGAATAGCGTCCTTTGTAACCTCCAAAGGTTACATGTTTAATTGTGTATCAGGCTCCAGGTATTACATTTGATTCTACAGAAACATTTGTTACTAGTGAATTAAAATAATCATCACTCTGTTTTATAGGATTATGTAGACTATCCAGACAGGAATATGGACTCCATTATATTCGAAATCATATTTCAAAATGTTAACCACTCTATAGTGAATTCTCTTCCCATTTCCCCTGATGAGATTCCCCAATAACCTCCCCCTGTTTTAAAAGGTCCAAGTTACATTATTATAAGTAGGTCCTGAAATATATGTAGTGTTTTCACTTTTCCCCCAACATCCATTCTGTAATTACATGAGACACAGATGTTAAAATTATTTTCAGTAATCAAGAGACTGAAAATAATAATAAACCCTACCTTTCTGCTGCTCTCCTATTTTTTACTCGTCTAATCCCATTTGAAATCCAGGATCTCAAAATTATCTAGCAATTTCAGATAGTGATGAAAAAAAGGAAAATCTGTGCTGATAGAAAGCTTCTATGCAGACTTTGATTTTAAGAAAAGTTGACATCTCTTTTCATTATAGAACCAGACAGTTCCAAGACACAAGCAACTTCTCTTTATAAGAAATACACACTTTTGTCCAGACCTTGACACAATCCTCACCCGACAACAGTGTAACCCAGGTTAGCTCATTCCCAAGCTCTGAATACTCCTGTAAAACAAGAATCCAGCTCAGCAATATTCACACTTGGTTGTAACTGTTGCATCTGCTTTGAATTCCAGTTCCCTCACTTGGACATAGAATTAAACAGAACAAGTAGGAATGACAGGATTCCTTCTTGCTTCAGGAAACAGGGCTAATTTTGTTTACCTGTGGGTCATGAAATATTTAGTGATAGCTTTCTGCAAGTGAATGGAGAAATCCTGATTTAATATTGGTAAGTACTGTTCAAACCTGCCAGCTCCAGTTTCCTTCAGAGAGTGATATTAGTCTGATATTTGTCCTTCCCTTCTTACCTGAAGCAAACAATAACACTGCTG